CATGTTGAAATTTCATTGAGCAAGACTCCCAAAATGCTCCCTATGTGTCTGGGAAAGTGTATTTGGCAAAAACATCTGCCAAATGACTGTAATGTAATGATTATGCACCCCTCACAGTCCCTCACAGTATCCCCAAAAACACAAACAATATAATGACTTTTGGGCCACTTCTGTCTTCCTCCAACAAACCCCCCTCACACACATCAATATACACACACCTGACATGTGAAACCAGACACACCTTTCTCCAGCAGCAGAGGAGTGGAGCGTTTCCAACATACCAGTCCCTTCATGAGATCCTATTTACCTTCTCAGCATCTCCTCGGGCCTCAGCGACTGGGTGTGTGAGACAGACAACAGCCTCTCAGTCCCATCACAACAAAGGTAACCAGCCACCTACACACCTCAGGGCCTCAATCCAGTTTCCATACACTTCATGGACGGATCACATCAGCACGAAACTGACAGCTGGGAGTGAATGGAATCTGAGACAGGAGGAGGAGTTTTTGTTTTTTTAATGTTGCTGTTTGTATGTTTTGGTGTGGCACTGTGTGTTTATCCCTCTGTCTGTGTGTCTGTGTGTGTGTGTGTGTGTGTGTGTGTGTGTGTGTGTGTGTGTGTCTCTCAGTGCAGCTGTGTAACCAGCCCCTGTGTTGACAGTGCCAGTCCAAACACAAACATCATTGGTTTTTAATAATGTGATTATCAGCCAACACACACACACACACACACACACACACACACACACACACAGACAGACAATGTGGATCTGATGAAGACAAACCCTCAGCAGATTTGATTAATGTGGTTAATTAATACATAGATGTAATAAACTGTTTGAAATTCTGTCTGTATGTTCGTGAATCTGTGTGTGTGTGTGTGTGTGTGTGTGTGTGTGTGTGTCTGTGTCTGTGTGTCTGTTTCACTGTGTGAACTTGTGTCTGTGCATATATTAATATTTGCAAGATGTGTGTGTATATGTGTGTGTGCATGTGTGTGCGTGTGTGTACAGTTAGGACGGGCTCTGAGCAGCATGTGTCTCAGTAGCAGCTGTCCAGAGGCCAGGTGGCTGAACTGACCTAAGTCTCTCTCTCTCTCTCTCTCTCTCTCTCTCTCTCTCTCTCTTGTTCTCTCTCTCTCTCTCTCACACACACACACACACACACACACACACACACACACACACACACACACACATACACTGACCCCCACATCTTCAGCTTTACTGCGTGGCCATAAACCAAAGATAACACAAACAGCTCCTAAATCAACACACCAGATTGAGCAGTACCAACATCACAGCCGTCAGACAGATTCACTTCTCATTAGCAGCTCTGCAACCCTCCTAACCTGCCAAATCCAGCATCCGTAGGTATTTTATGTTGTCAGACTTATAAAGACATATGAATGAGGCTTTAAAAATGTGACTTTGTAATTACTGCATGCTTTCAGTTGTTTTGTTTGGGAACTTGCATAGTTTGTGGTGTTCAGCAATGCTTTGTCTTTCTTGTTGGCCAATGTGGGATGGGCCATTGCAGTGGTAAGAAAATAAAATAAAAAAACTCCATTCATTTATTATTTGTACAATGAACAAAGACTACTCAGTTTAAAATGAAAAGGGATTGGATTCATTGCAGCTCACCTGCTCACTGGTCCAAAGACCTGTTTCTGAAGTTGTGTTCACTTATGATAATTAGTTTTATGCCTTTACCACAAAAGATGGTTTTCTCTGAAGTGAGTCAGGGCCTTGGCTAAAGGATAAAGTCATTACTTGTTGCATTAAAACAAATGTGTAATATATTCAAATATACATATCTACCTCTGTTGCACTAAATATAGCGCTGTGGTTGAAGATGTTCTCCGTACTCCCCTTCAGAGAAATGTAAATCAAGTCTGTCAAGTCTCACCTGTCCTCATTGACAATGCTAATGTCATCTAACTTCCTGAGCTCTGAAAATAATAGATCTTTGTTCATGTTGCCTACAGGGTTAATGACATTTTTCCTTCATAAGAACAACAGTGACACGTAACAAATTTGGAAAGCTTTTTGAAAAACGAGTAGATGTTGTGTCATTTTTACACTGAAGGTGCAAGTTTTCAGCTTTGCAGTATAGTCGCTTTACTTATTTAACATATTTCCCACCATCCAAATAGAAAAGGGCTCACATGTAATTGTAACATACAGACATCCTTTGAGACCATGTTCAGTGCTGTAAAATTTGACAATGTGACACCACTGTGAATTTATTCTTCTCTTTGACATCCAGGCGGTTATTTTGCAACATATCAAAGCTTTAAATACAAATATAAGGGTCAAATGTGCCCTACAAGAACCATCTAAGGACAGAGGGAGTCATAAGTTGTAGAGGTTGTAATAGTCTTTGAGGGACATTTGTGATCTTAGACTATATAAATAAAGTTGACTGGACTGTTTTGTCATTCAGATATTCTGGACAATTTACTTGCCCTTAGAAAGATTTAAAGAACCAGTGTGCAGGATTTGGTGGCATTTGCTGTGAAGTTGCAGATTGCAACAGTCCCTGTGAAACGTGAAAGGTCCTATCCAGAGCCAATGTTGGGTTTGTCCGTTCTGGGATACTGTAGAAACATGGCGGTTCAACTACTGCTCTCTCTATAGATAAAAACATCTCATTCTAATGTAACAAAAACACAATTTTACACTTTTTACACTAATGAAAACATACCTGTAAATATTATATTCCATTTCTGCCATTAGATCCTCCTTAATGTTACACTCTGAACCTTTAAACAATCTTGAAGCTTGACCTGGGCTTTAGGTGTAATCTGAGGCAATCACTTGTGTGTGTAAGAGGAAGGCAGGTCAGGGTAGGCTGTGTCTAAACAGGCTGTGTGCCCTGAAGCCTTGTTGTATTGGAGGAGATAGGGGTCACCCTCCATCTCCTCCTCTTTGCTTCCTTCCTCCTTTTCTCTCTTCTCTCACTTTAGCTATGATACACCACCATCAATGACCGGCATCTGCCCTCCTTCTCCTCCTCCTCCTCCTCCTCCTGCTGCTGCTGCTTCTCCTCCACATGTCTGCTGTCATTCTCCTCCATCTCCTCCCCTTTGTTCTCCAAAGTTCTCTTATCCACCACCCACAAAAAAAGAACAAAAAAAGATTTCAGATTTGCTGTGGGATAAAGTTTCCTTAAGTACACTGTCTGAGCAGACTGTGTGTGTGTGTGTGTGTGTGTGTGTGTGTGTGTGTGTGTGTGTGTGTGTGTGTGTGTGTGTGTGTGTGTTTATGTGAGGGGTGGAATGAGGAGGGAGAGGGGGAACAGTATTAAACAGAGGGAGGGAGAGAGAGAGAGAGAGTACACATCAGCATTACAATCACACACAGCTGTTTGTATTCTGTTTTGGGAGCCAGAGAGAGATCAAGAGAAAGAGCAAGGAAGACAGGTTTCGCCACAGATTTGTATGTCACTGATCTCTAATGAAGAATCACTATATTTCTGCATTGTAATCCAGCAATGTAAATCCAACACAGTCTGGAATCTAAAGGTGAGGTTATGAAAAAGTGTTATACACGAAACAACAATTTTCAAGACGAGTTTAAAAGTCAGATCAGATTAGAACAAGCAACAGGTCAAAAGCCAAAAACATAAATGTGGCCTCACAGGCAGGACTTGGTGTTTCAATAGTGGGGTCTCTCCTATATTAAGAGGCTGTTCTGCAATGTTTGGGGTCACAACATCAAGGGCATGATTCAGCTTCAACTGTGGAGCAGCCAACAGCTTCAGATCAGAAGACCATGGAGGAGACTTGAGGATTCAGAGGGTCTAACAAATAAGATTGGTTCACCTCAATAAGTACAGACGTACTGTCATAATGATATATGATGACGACATATTCCCAAAAGATTCCATAATCATGTTATGGCAAATGATATTTCAATTTTAAACCATATGCAATGTGACTAAGATAGTTATTTGCCCTGAGTGACAGCTCAGTGTTGAGTGGTGCTGAGAAGCCAATGTTTTTCTCTTGTGTAGAAATTGCCAAGTAATAATGAAACATGGGACACAAATGGTCAAGTTAACTTTATTTCAATTGCCGAAAATCATTACATTACAATTGTTATTTTGTTGACTTTAAACAATGACTGAAACAGTGATGGCGCTTATATTGTAAACAATAGTAATATAGTGAATATATAGTAGATATATAGCAGTGGTGGAAGAAGTATACAGATATTTAACTTAAGTAAAAGTAGCAACAGAGTTGAAATACTCTGTTATGTGAATTAAAACTTACAGTAACTGATACTCAGCATGTGCACATACATGTTTACTGTTTACTGTGAATGTCAGTCATGATACCCTGTGTGCTTACCCATCAGTAGGTTGCTACTTTGTTGTGTTGCATTTAACATTTATTAATCTTCGTCTAAACAACAAGAAGAAAGAGTTGATGAGAGTTTGATGTGAGTGTTGGAAAAGTCTTCCACAGAAGGTTCAATGTCTCTCCAGATGCTCTAATTTAAAGAAACTCATTATTCTTTAGTTATCAAGCTGCCCCATTTAACGATTGTAACTGAAAGCTCATCCTGTTTAAAATGATACAGATAACTTGATTGGAGTTCTCACATCCAACTGCAGTTATTCTGCATATGGAAGCTCATCAACAAGTGTGTTTCCATCGTCGGACAGGTGTCTTAGATCGGCTTTTACCCATTTTGTCCACTTCAGGTTTTCACCAAGAAGCTCTGTCGCCTTCCTGAGGCCAGATAAATACGGCATCAGGTGACACTGCAGTGAGAATGAAAGTCCTCGTCCGAGGTCAAACTGCCGCTGTTTGACTGACGGCCAGTTGGAAACCTGCTGCTACCTTCAGGGAAAACGCAGTGTGTGTGTGTGTGTGTGTGTGTGTGTGTGTGTGTGTGTGTGTGTGTGTAAGAGGAGAGAGAGAGAGAGAGAGAGAGAGAGAGAGAGAGAGAGAGAGAGAGAGGGTTGCCTGGACAGACGCAGTCTCAGACGTGCCCGCTCCCGTCTCTCTCTCCCTCTCTCTCTCTCCCTATCACACACTCTCGGGAGCAGCGCTTTGACGCACCACGCAGAGTTGGATTATAGTATTGCGCGCTGGTCTTTCACGGGGCTCTTTTCCTGACTACACAAGGGTGTAGCCTTGCCACTGACCGGCAATTGATATATGATCGGAATCAATATCTCTCCACCACGGTGACCTCTGCTGAGCTTTTTGGGGACACTGTCGCTGCTCCCTCTCCGGACGCGTGTTGTGAATTAATAACCAAGACAGCCTCACCTGGAGTGCGGTGTGTGCGTGTCTCTGTGTGTGTGTCTGTGTGTGTGTGTGTGTGTGTGTGTGTGTGTGTGTGTGTGTGTGTGTGTGTGTGTGTGTGTGTGAGTGTGTGTGTGCGTGTGTGTGTGTGTGCACTGAAGTGTGTGTGAGAGTGTGTTTCTCTGGATCAGATCAAGGATCGAGGTGTTTCACTGGCTTGGTTCCGCACGCGCACGTATACATACACAGACACAACACACACCGGGGGGATTTGGGCACCGCATGCCGGGGACATGTGGAAGTTTGCGCCGCTGTAGCGCAGCCAGAGAGCCGGTCCACCGCCTCGTCGACCTCCCCTCTTCCTGCCCAGGGGGACCAAATTCCCGGTTCACAGCCTTGACACATCGAAAACCCCTCTAAGAAGACCCAAATGTAAATTCAGAACGAGAAATTTCAGAAACACACGTCTGAAAGGGAGGACAGCGAAAAGGGGGACGGCATCCCGTTGCGTGCAGAGTTTGGTGAGCTCTTTCGGGGGATTTCGGGGCATTTATTTTTAACGCCCTTGTATTTTTCTCAATATTTTGTGGGTCTCATATTGGCCCACACTTGCCGCAGTGATGGTGGGAGCTCTGAGCCCCGTTGGCCTTGGCCGCTCCCCGGCGACTGCGCTGGGGCTGCTGGTGGCTGTTCTGGTACTGGTCCTGTCCGGCGGAGCGGACGGCCAGCCCTGCCCAGCCCAGTGCTCCTGCACCGGGACTACAGTGGACTGTCACGGCCAAGGGCTCCGCAGCGTGCCCAGGAACATACCTCGCAACGCGGAGCGACTGTAAGTACCGAGTGGGGAAAAGCAGTTTTGCTTTAACCTGCGCATAATATTTCCCAACAATTTCAACACACTGAACAGAAAAAAATCACTAGAATAAGATTAATTTGTGTGTCAGTGATGCTGAATAACACGTGTGCAGTGACCTTATCTTACTTACGGTGTTTTAATGGTATATTCAATAAAACTGTGCTTCTCTTTAAGGAGTTTACGGCAATCTTATCACACTTTCTGGTATTTAATACTCTAAATTATATCACCAGCAATGTTTTTATGATCATATAATGTTCCTACATTTTTGATTAATACTGTTGTTGTTATATGTTGTTGTTATATATGTATATCTCGTCCTTTTAAACTACATGCTGACAGCGTATTGGGACATTTTTTTCCCCCTTGGAGACCACATCTTAATAGCGCAGAGCTTTACATTTAGACTAACATGACAAAAACTAAACCTTAGCTGATGTGAATTTTGGTTTTGTCGTGTGCAAAGTGCAGAAACACTAGAGTTCAGATTGCTTGTGTTTTATGTGAGGAAATATCGTTACTGATCGCGGAGCTGAAGTTAGTGGCACTGCTGTGGTTGTGTTGGTGGTTTCGCACTGTTGCATTAGCACAGCCTCCGTAGACCACATCGGTTTGTCTGGAGACCAGCAAGTTAATCAAAAACGGATTTGGACAAGTGGGCTTTGAGTTAAACAGGCCCGTATTTTATTAGTCAGAGACCCCTTGATGAAATTCATTCTCAATTTTCTCTGACGCTCAAATGACAATTCTGCATTGGCCACGGCACACCAAGTTTCAACAAAAAAACCCTTCAGCAGACGGAGACCTGCTCACCTGCTCTGTTCTTGTTTTATTAACGTCTCATATCTCATGTTCTGACAGCCCCCCCTGTATCCATTTCTCTGTCTAGGGATCTGAATGCAAACAACCTCACTAAAATCACCAAGGCGGATTTTGCAGGACTGAGACATCTAAGAGTGTTGTAAGTGGCATTTTACCTATTTCATTTTCTCATTTCTTTTCCCCTCCTCCTTTTCAAGATGCAAAAGAAAGAAAAAAAAGCACTCTCACGCACAGCTCTAACAAGCAGCACCTTGCAATTCCAATAACTTTCCCTCCTCAAAATACCAACAACAACAACACACACACACACACACACACACACACACACACACACACACACACACACACACACACACGGATTTAACTGTTCCCAGTCCTGTTTCAGCATCAGGCTCATCCAGCCCTGGAGCTGCCGCATGCAGCACTGCGTCTGTAGTCGTGGGAAGCAAGCCGGTTTCATTGAGTCCGAATGTGTGTCTAAACAGACTAGCAGTGGCACCTGTTAATGCTGTCGTGTTAATCTGCCAGTGGAAGTGTCAGGAGGGGCTTATTTTAACCACCGGGCAAAGGGGGAAAGAGATAGCGGTCATTAGGTGTAACCGCGGAGGGAGGAATGCAGCTGGAAGGGAGGGAGGAAAGAAAGGAAAGGAAAGGATAGATTCATGTAAGAACAGGTTTCTTACCTGGGATGGATCCAGGTTAAGAGTGGGACAGGGATAGCCTGCTTTTATTATGTATGCGTGTGTGTGTGTGTGTGTGTGTGTGTGTGTGTGTGTGTGTGTGTGTGTGTGTGTGTGCCATTCAGCTGCTAAAAGTGAATGGCAGGGAATACACATTGTTGGAATTCCTCCAGAGATTAGGTCCTTAATTGAGTGTGTGTTTGTGTGTGTGTGTGTGTGTGTGTGTGTGTGTGTGTGTGTGTGTGTGTGTGTGTGTTTATTTATGCGTGTGTGTGTTTCAGTCTTCATCCTGTTTCCTGTGTGTTCATGTCATGGGTAATTTGAAAACCAATTTTTTGGCAAGTTTTCTTGATAATTAACTCATTGTTTCATTAATTTTTCATGCAAAAATGGCAACAACAACAACAACAAAAAACTTGGTTTCAGCTTCTCAGATGAGAGGATATGCTTCGTTTTTTTGTCATGTATTATTGTCAATTAAATGAATGTGGGTTTTGGCCTGTTGATTGTTCAAAACAACCATTTTGAAGACCTCTTTGGCACTTGGTCACAATTTCAGATGATTAATCAAGAAAAAAAAATCTGAAGATTAATTGGTGATAAAAATAATGAAAATGACTGCTGTCTGCAGCTTAAATTTTAATATACAAACCAGTTATATCTGCTTATCGTGAGTGCACATCATACGGTCTGAATCTGTGAGTGTGCTTGGCTTGGTCAGCACAGTGCTCCTGGGGGAGTTGTGCTAGTGTAAGTGAATGAGTAGTCACAGCTATGTGGTTAGATAGAGAGTAAATTGGATGATAGATGAGTCGCTGTCCAACTGATGGGCCAGTTTTAAAGTCAATTCTGGGTCTCTATCGACCCGCTGCTGATTGTCTTCTCCCTCTCTCTCTTTTGCTGTTTCAACAGTCTATCACTTTCCATCTCAACCAATCTGTTTTTCTTATTTTTTTTCACACCCACCGCCACCTATCTACTCCATCTCTCCCTCCCTCTCCTCTCCAATGTCAATCTCGTTGACTCTCGTCGTGCCCTGTCTCGCTCTCAGTCACCTTCTCTTCCTCTTCACTCTCTTATCTGTGGCCCCATCCAGCCATCTTTTCGGCCTCTCACGGTGTCGTCCCACAAATCGCTCTGTCAGCTCTCACACTCTGTGTGTCTCTCTATCACTCTCTTTCTTTCCCTCTTGTCTTCTTTTCTTCTGTATGTCCAATTTCTTATTGTCTCACTCTCTCTCCTGGTGTTTCTCCTTCAGGCAGCTAATGGAGAATAAAATCACCACAATCGAGAGAGGAGCCTTCCAGGACCTGAAGGAGCTGGAAAGACTGTGAGTTTTTTTTAATCGAAGCAGCCGCCATTTTATTGCCTTCACACATTTTCTGCACGGACGCATGTTGATGCCCTGAAAATAGTAGGCATACCAAGCATGCACACCATCTCTTCACGTATGTGTAGATGTGCACGTACAGTAGGATAAAAGGTGTTGGGACATCAGAACAACTTCATCATCTTTGTCATTGATTCTACATTGACTTTTCTTAAGCCCCTTACACACTGTACCATATCAACAATCCTGCAGGTTCAGTGCATTTCACACCGTGTGAGATGGGGTTAACGCAATCTGCGTCTGATGGTACGTTTTCACCTGGTGAACCGTAGCACTGCAGAGACATGTCATCAACTTGTGTCATCCAACTAGTTTGATTGTTTGCTTACAATATCACGTTGGCCAGTCCATCCTGCATCATTTCATGGCTTTGTTTTGATAGGTTGGTTTGTATCAGTAGGCACATTGTGCAAAACCTGGTCCTGAATTTATGACACTACCAGGATTTTGACGCAGGATGTCCTCAGGTCATCAAATCTGTAAATCAGCTGCCAGTGAATGTGGGGCTGCCAACGTCTCAGTCCAAGAGGAAAATTTTGAAAATGAGTCACGGGGGCAGCCACTGAGGAACAGTCAAAGGTTGTTATGGCGCTGGCCTGGAATCACTGGTATTCAGCATCCAACCCTAAGGCAGTTATGGCATAATTAAGTCCTGGTAGTGTGTGAGAGCGCAAGACAGAAGGGGGATGTGGACCCCTGACTGCTGATATGTCCATTGTGTTGACTGTCAACTTTGCTTGATGTGTGAGCCGCCATATATATGTGCGTGTGTGTTATTGTGGCCTGACTATCACCCAATGACACACTGGAATGCAGCAGACTGTGACAGATTCTGAGGAGGCTTAAACCCAAGCTTTTAATTAAAGACACATAAAAAATCCTCGCTGCTCACAAACACATTTACAAAAACACAGACATACCTGTACACACACAGAGATCAACCACCTGTACGCTTATACAGACATGCACGCGGTACAGAATCAAATGAAGGTGGTTAATCTTCTTGATAGCTGTTTTGGATAAATTCTTCAAAGGATGGGAAAGGATGAAATATCGTGATTCCCCGGCTGCTCTTGTCTTGGGTGTGTCATGCCTGGTTTTTCTCTGCTCTCTGCGGCACTATGGCTGCTCTTTGTTGACAGAGAGAGAAGCTCTGTGGGCCACTATAAGGAATCTGTTAGTGCCTCTCATGCAACCAACGCTGGGTTCTGTCCGGGTAAGCAGATCTGGGAATTCCTGCCCAGAGCTGCAGACAAAAAGGGCAATATTTAACTGAGTATGGTCCAGCTTTAACTGTAAACTTTGATAGTAATGACCTTCTGTACATGCTGGTCACTCACGCATATATATGAGCAAAACAAGCTTCAACACACTTGCACAACTGGTCTACAATGTAGACAAGCTCGTTAACAGCAGTAGCAGATAAAGTCTTTCACATATACCGTCAAACTATGCACACTAGTTTTGTCTTGTCGCAAGAAACACCTTTGACAGCGGCTATGTTTCTGACACAACATGGCTGTTTTCTGTTGTCCTCGCAAGGGTTTTCAACTGTAATTCAGCGTCTCTGGCGTGGCATGTTCACAAACACAAAGATGGAGTCAGTCATCAATGCCCCCCCGCAGCCGCTGGACAAAGGCACGTCTCCGGAGTCTGGAGTCTGGGGGCTCATTTCAAAGGCCTCCATCCTCTGGGGGGCTGGAGGGGTCCTGCTGGGCACCACTGCCCAGAGGAGAGGGCCCTAAGCTGGGCTGACGGATCAACAGTGACTGCCCCCCACAGGGGTGGAAAACGGTTCCCCTTGTCATCCTTTTTTTTTTTTTTTTTTTTGCGACAGGCCCTGCAGGGCTGGGCAGGGTGGGGTCAGGTGTGGGGCAGTAGCTGGGGGGTATGGAGGAGGGGTAGGTGGTCAAGGGAGGTTGAGGACATAGGCATGTCACAACATACACAAACACATACAGGGGTATGCATGTGCATTAACTTACGCAAGCACTGTTTTTATCTCCATTTTGCCCCCCTCTTACACCCACTCACACCTTCTGTCTTTCTTTCATTTATTCTTTAACTTCTCCTCATGTTTTTCTTCCATACCCACCCATCTCGCTCTCTGTCTCTATTGTCCTGCGCATATAGGAATGTCATACATTCTTCACTCCCTCTCTCTGTGGATGAAGAATAGGAAAGAGAGGAGTTCCTGATCCTCTTATCCTCCTCTCACATTTGACTGGTTTACAGCCCCTATCCAATTCAAAGGCTGTGAGATTGAAGGCGATAACAGCCACAGATATGCAGAGAGAAACAAAACAGTAATTACAGGCATTGAGACGATCATTTCAGAGAGCAGCAGTGAGATAAAGCCATAGATAATTAGCCTGTAACTGAGTCTTCACATTATCAAAGATAATTTTAACAGCAATGAATAATTGTAAAAGTGATTACAGGTAGTGAGATGTGTCTATCAACAGTACTTACAAACTACATAATTAAACCTCAAACTAAGTGATTGTGTTGTGGACAATCTGACTAGCCAAATATAATTGTAACATGCAGTGATCCCACATACTGGGATATGGATTTCAAAGAAAAGCACTGGATTAGTGCTAAATGATTAGCTCTACAGCCGCTGAGTGATAACATTGTTCTTGCTGATCATTTCAGGGCAAACTTTCAAATGTTTCTTTTCCCTTTTTTTTATTGAGCAGCGGAGCTTGAAATTATCTGCACTGTGAAGACACACAAAAAGCCATTTTCGCTACTGCATTTGTGTCTGAAAAGTAATTTGTGATAGATTTTCCTTGGTCGCTGTCTGTCTGTGCTGCGCTCTGAACATTCAAACTCTCAACATTTGTTATATTTATTGGTAAACACCAGTTAGAAGTAAAAGTGCTCAAAGTTTCAAGGAAAAGCTCTTCAAAACTGCTGAATGTGAATGATTTTGTTTTTGGTGATAGCAAAGGAATTCACTGACTGGATTTCTGCCTTTCTTTGTTTTTATGGCAGATCATAGTGTATCTGTCATTAGTGTTAAAATAACAGATCAGATCAGTGTGTGTAAATCGTTGGTGGATGATGTTTACTTCAGATGCACCAGAGGTGAATCCAGTACGGAAGTGCAATGGAAGATAGACACACACACACTTACTGGTCAGTTTCAGATAGTTCTGGAGTAAAGACATGGAAATGTCCACAAGGTTTCAGTCATAACTGTGGTAACAGTACTGCGTGTGTGTGTGAGAGACAAATTGTTAGTGTAAAAACTGTATTATAGCAGCAGTGGCATCGGTGGAGTAATAATTGGTTTCTGAGGTGGTTTGTTATTTCCTTCCCAGCCAGAGTGTGCAAGGCTGTAGTTCTACACATCTACAAGCCTCTGAGGTGTTAGGACTGTATGTGTGTGTGTGTGTGTGTGTGTGTGTGTGTGTGTGTGTGTGTGTGTGTGTGTGTGTGTGTGTGTGTGTGTGTGTGTGTGTGTGTGTGTGTGTGTGTGTGTGTGTGTGTGTGTGTTTGTGTGTGTGTGTGTTTATGTTTGTGTGGCTGTGAGTGTGCATGAATTATATTTGCCAAGATTTGGCACACTGTACGTGAATGTGTGTGTCTGTGTGTGTGTGTGTGTGTGTGTGTGTGTGGGGGTGTGTGTGTGTGTTTACTATGTGGTTTGTGGCCCTCTAGCATCTGTTTATGACTGCAGGGATTATCACCACGCCGCAGTGTGACATTAGCTTGTTAGAGTGACTCTCACACCTCAGACTACTGGCTACTCAGTCTTTATTCATTTCTAGCCAGACTTTGACTAATGAAACACGACTGTGGAAGTACTCTGAGGGTGTTTATGTTACAAACACACACACACACACACACACACACACACACAGACACACACACACACACACACTCACAGACACACACACACACACACACAAATATATTCCTTCTGGTCCAGAAGCAAACCTCTAAACCACAGACGACAAGATTATTTGAGTCAGAAGCAGTCAGTACTTTTAGATGGATACTATAGGTGTATGAACAATTCTTTAATCTTTAACTGAATCACGATCGTCATTTACTGACTCAGTAGCTTTTAAATGTGGAGCTCCCCTCACTGGTGACCGAGAGCAGTTCCAACAGCTCAACACTGATTTACAGTATGATACTAAAGCCACCGAAAGACCGTGAAAGACACAGACTGATCATGATTTGAACAAGCTGATGCTAAAAGGAAGCTGATACCCATACAATAATCAGCCATAATGTAAATTCCCTCATATTAAATCAATATAGGATTAAAATTCTTACAACAAATTGCAAAAGCTCATAAAAAGTTCATGTGGTTTGCTTTGAAACTCCCCAACCTGCCCCACAGAGCAGTGTGTGTATGTCATCGTCCACACCTATGAATCTTATGAAGTGTTTACTGTCTCGAGAGATCGCCCTTTGATAAATAAAGATAAATTGAAAATTAACAGGATTTTTTTTAAATGTATGGAAATGGGCTTCCATAGATGAGCTTTAGGTCATAGGTCTAGTTTTATACTCAACTAAAGTAAGAGATGTACTACTGAACTGAAGGCAGTCTGAATTAGCTCTAACATACTGTATTTACTTACTGATGCACGTACTGAAGTGCATTTGTAAGGCTATGCACAAGCTTAGCTTTGACCAAAAGTTAACATTGTCAGTGGCTACAAATGTGGACAGAGCGAAACGATTCAAATCAGCAAAGTGATTTGTTATTCCCACCATTAATATACACAAATAAACTCTCCCTGTGCAAACCCAGATTAAGTAATACTCTAATTTGATTAAGGTGTTTGCATTGTTTATAGGTACCTGTGTTTGAAATGTGGTAGCTATCAAAGTTGGGACACTCATAAGAATAATAGCTTTTTAGTTTTAGTTTTATAAATCAACATTTTGGCACATCTTCAGGATGTGTGGAAGAAAAGATTAGTTGATTAATTATTTTAATTAGTTTATACCAAGAAAAATAAATCTATATATCTCAAATTTGAGTATGTTTGTTTTTTTCTTTTTTCTTTAAATGTAAATTATCTTCTTCTTTAAAACTTTGGGTTGTCAGACAAAACATTTAATGTTAAAGATGAATTTCCTCTTGGGCTCTGGGAAATTGTGCCTGAAGGAGTGACTTCATTAGAGTTGCTTCAGCTCTGTCATTTGCAGAATTGCAACATGAATGTTGTTTCTCTGTCCTTCTGAGAAGATAAAACAGTTAACATCCAGTTTACTCTGTGTCCTTTGTGACGCTTTTACAAAACTAAAGCATGAAAAGAAATGCAGTGTAATTCATAAAATCCATGGATCGTCCAGCTTTCTCTTGTTACTTTTATGACCTAGAACGACACAACACCTCAGGGGAACCAGACTGGTTTTGATCCTTTAATGTCTTTACTTCATTCTCTCAGTCTCCTAGTCTGACAGCATTGCATCTATTTTAAAAGGATGAGCTCATACCCCGTCTCCCTCCCCACCTCCAGCACCAGTCCGTGCACTCACCCTGGGGAGGTCTAGCCCACTAACGGGTGCTCATGGCTAGGCAGGACCTGCAGGAGGAGTGGGCCTCTCCGCAGGACCACGTGGGGCTCTTAGCCGCCAGAGCCCAGTGTTAACGGAAGAGGAGTGAATAATTTAGAAACATCATTTCTGTGGGATGTTAAATATTTAACGGCCTCTGATGTAACTGGAGTGTGAAAGTGCGTGCATGTACGCGAGCACTTTCATATATTTGTGCACTTGTGGGTGGGAGATGGACACAGAGAGGGTGACGTTATTTAAGGAGAGTCTTATAGTGAAGCAAAAAGGGGAGAAAGACGAGGGTTAAGAGGAAAAAGTCACTGAGAGACTTAAAGAGAGTTTTGAATGGAGTTGGTGACATTTTTGGAGCGCTTTGTTTGGTCTGTGGCATTTCTGGGATCAATATGCGTTTGTGTGCGTAAATTATGCAAACTGTGTAATGTTAGTGTATTGTTCTTATTAGTTTGAAGTCACTCTTTCTTCATTGTGCCTCCATCCTTCATTTTCTTCTTCCCTCTCTTTATTCCCCTTCAGTAGCAGCCAGCACAGCATCCGTCGCTGGGCCTGTCAATGTGTGTGTGTGTGTGTGTGTGTGTGTGTGTGTGTGTGTGTGTGTGTGTGTGTGTGTGTGTGTGTCTCAGGGTTAAACTGTTTCAGCAGTCTGTCTCTCATTGTGTCACTCTCCTCTGACTCACATCAAGGCACAACCACACATACACACCAACACACACCAGCACACAAACCTCTTCACTCCACTCAACCAGGGTTAAATGATCGCACCCAGATTATTAAACTCACCCGAGTTCTCTCACCTCCTCTGTTTGTGTGTGTGTGTGTGTGTGTGTGTGTGTGTGTGTGTGTGTGTGTGTGTGTGTGTGATGACGGGTTGTTGTGAGTTCTTCCCCTGTGAGGGCCTTGTTTACTCAGTGGGGTCCTTTTCACACATTCGGTAGTCCGGCCAGACTGCCTGTTTGTTTTTCCCACATCATCTCCTCTCCTCCGCCTTTGTGGTGAAAAAAGTCCCCCCCTCCCTTCATCCGAACCCCCTCTCTCGTCTTCCTCCCCCTAGTCCTTCTTGAGTTCACTGTTTGTCTGGCAGCCATGTTGTACCCCTTAAATCAGGGGCAACCCGAAGTCTGTTTTTTTGCGTATTCGTCCAAGAACCTGTGTTATTGTCTCCATCAATCTCCTTATTCTTTCATACTTTCTCTAACTGTACTGAATTGCATTACAATCAAAATAACATAACATAATTTGATATGATGATCAGGAAATACAAATCTCACATTAAAAAGCTAATTATACACACATGTAACCACTTCACCCACATTGTCTGGAAGGGGGCTAGGTAGAGCTTATTCCCTAATTTATGCTGTGTTTTTCCAGGCGCCTGAATCGGAATAATCTGGCCGTCTTCCCCGAACTGCTTTTCCTGGGAACGACAAAGCTTTACAGACTGTAAGTCCTGTTTTTATTTTCCTTTCATATCCATCACTCAATTGCTCTTCATTGTTAACTGAAAAAAATTTCATTTTCTCATGTTTTGTTTCACGAGAGCACTGCAAAGAAGGCATGAGATCATTCAGATGAATTGTAGCAATCGTGTGTTTGTGTGCATCACCACTAGCTTGTACAGGTCATTGACTATGACTTAAAATTATATGGTGAAATATGTTACAGACATCGTAAAGTAGAAAAAAATATGTGGTTTTCGGTGACGCAGGCGCGGATGAAGGAGTGAGAGGAGTGAGAGAACAAATTTACATGGCCCTCTCCATAGAAGCCAGTTCAGTAGCTAATGGAGATTAGCACTCCAACAGCTGCTGCCCACTGGGAGAGATGTGTGTGTGTGTGTGTGTGTGTGTGTGTGTGTGTGTGTGTGAGTGTGTGAGGATGAAGAGGAGAAAGCGAGCAAGACAGACCAAGGGAAGTATAAGTAGCGAAACATAGAAACAGGTTTCGCTTCTGAGGTTACGTTTTGTGTTTCACAGGCAGAAAATAGTGTCAGTTACAGAACATAAATGTCCCAGTTTGCATTCAAACCAGTGAACCGCTGTTTGTTGTCGTCAAGCACCTTCCACCCTTCACTCACGGCCTGATCGTCTGTACTGTAAATCGAGCTGTGGATTTCCAGTACTGTAGGGCTGGGCTGCGACACTGCTGAAACTGTGGGAACTAACTTCCCGTCATGGTCATTTGTGGTCCCAGGGAATAATTATGGTTACATATATTTATATGTGCGGCTGAATATATTTATCTAAAACAATATTGAAATGCTTAGATGATTCAGAGAGTGTGTGAAAGTTGTTTATGTTCTGCGGCCGCTACAGTGGTTGGCTGGGCCTGACCTGTCGTGTCTAAGGGTGTGTGTCTGCATGTGCGTCTGTGTTTCTGCAAGTGTGTGTGTGTGAGTTTCTCAAGGCCAAGAGTTGGCATATTGCTCAGCGTGTAGGCCGAGGTAAAAATACAACTCGGATATACTGCTCTCAGCTCAGCTGTCGCAGACAATCGGCCTTTCTGTGCATGTGTGTGTGTGTTAGCTCTCCAGGTGTATGTGTTTAGCAGAGGGTCCCTTATTGGCTGCACATCTTCACTGAACAAGCACGCTTCATTCTGCATAACAGCTTTCACGACGTTATGTTGTAATTGCATTGTTTCCTGTGAGATATAGTATGCTATAGAATCTACAGAGAAAGAAAGAAAAGTCTGAGAATCAACAGAAAATGCTAAATGACAATGAAAAAAGAAATTGCCAAGCTGGCGCCGTTGCAGCCACAAAGCTACAAGCAGAGACGTATGGAAGTCATTCAGAATGAACGACAACCACGGAGGCTAAGCCAATAGTATTTAGGGCTGTTTGGTCAATATTAAATCTTATGTCTACTTCTGCACCCCCTACAGTGTACTTTTATTCTTAGAAAACACAACAAGAAACCCTTGAGAACCTCTGAAGTGGAATCTTGTTAAGTTTTATATGGAGGTCAGAAGGTATGTGCGAACTGGACCGACTTTGGTTCTTGCGACAGTACATCTATAAATGAACACTTGCTCAACCTGCTATTATGAAAATTATGTTTTCACTTTTTTGGGGCTTGGAAAATCTGTGTATGTGTGTGCGTGAGTATTTACTGGATGTTTAAACTTTGTTCAGCACTGTGGTTTAGGGATTTGAGGGCTAAATTAAACTGGGCTGAGGTCAGGTGTGAGATATGTCACATATTACAGAGGGAATAGTATTTCTGCCTGAATTATGTTTACCTGCGACATTTTGTTTTCAAACCACTAAGTGTGACGATACAGCAGGTTCGACTTTGCAGCCTGCATGACGTGTTGTTGAGTCCAGACAACTAAATCACTCTAAGATTAGGGAATAGTAATTGTCTTGGAAAAAGTAACAACCTATCTGGGTGAAGCTTCCATATGGTGTGGACCAAAATCACTATGTTTTAACTTAATTGAGCTTAATTTAGTTTATTAATTATGAGAATGAGCACATGACATTACGCATAACCACAAAAATGTGAAGCCTAACACAATAATGTCCACTGCTTATTTACTACGCAGTGCCGTTTATTACGCTACAAGTCATATCTGTGGCATGTACAGTACTTTATTTTTACCTCCCACAATGCAATGTGTTTTTATTGATGTGGAAATTAATGTTGTGTGACTCTACAACTGTCAGTGATGACGCAACATGAGGATGACTCACAAATGTCTGAAATCTCGATGTACTGGCCATTATAGAGTAAATTATTTAGTTGTAAGTGAGTGAACAAGGCAGTGATTTCAGACACAAGACACAGGTGATTTAGGGACTTCATACTACCGACAAACAGTGGCCAGTTTATTAGGTACACCTAGCTTTCATTCACCTTTATGATCATTTTGGAGGCTGCAGTTTGTAGTGCTGTTGAACTGTATGATGTATAATTGTGTTTAATGCAATAGGGTTAATATTCTTTAAGCATTTATACATTATATTCAGATGATCCTATATTAATTTACCTTGTTTTCTCTACTTTCCGTTATGAAATGTGGCTCTATTTGTGTGTTTACTTTTTACTTTATTGTCGCTGTTTTATAACTTGTATCTCTTGGTCTATTATTGTTTTCCTTTTTTTTTTAAAGATTTTATTTTATACAACTATATTTTAAAAGATTTTATTTTCTAATTTCCCTGCTTTCATTGTCTACATATTTTTCATGCCTCATGTGAACACTTAACTGCCTTTGTATTTTCCACAAGGTGAACAAATACATTTGCGTGGTATTTCCTCTCCTCTCCCTTTCCCCAGCCAGCTTTTTTTCTATCTTTCTCTCTCTCTTTGCTCTTCACTGGACAGAAATCAGATGAAAGAGGGAGAGATGAAAGAGGGGTTGATGAAGGGATCGGGTGATGGGAGGATAAGAGAATGGGTCACTGCTTCCACAGCTGAAAAGTCTGGTTATGCTTGACAGTGAGGCTAGATTGATGGGACAGTGTTTGTTTAGTGTGTGTGTGTGTGTGTGTGTGTGTGTGTGTGTGTGTGTGTGTGTGTGTGTGTGTGTGTTATTTTGCTGCTTCTGGCAAATATCCCTCAGCTACAGTTTTTACTTTATAACTGGGTTTCTTTTGTCTGTATTTTGAGGTGCATTTTTCTTTAAAATATTGACTCTCCTGTCTTAATTTGCATGAAAGCATACAAAGCGAGAGATGAAGAAAGTCAGTTGTACCTCAGCCCTTCATCATCATTCCACTGAGAAGGAAAGTCAACATAGACAAGTTGATTGAGCGTTGAATAAGTGAACTTCAGGTCTCTCACACACGCATTAAACCTTAGTTAATGTGGTATGGGGTTTGAATTAATGAGTTGATGAGGCTACGTTTTTGGTGTGTGTGTTTATGTGTGTGTAATAGTCCCTAATCCTCTGCTAAACGGTGCCCTGATGAGGCTTTACCAGGCAGCATTGTTGCTTAGCAGCCTCGAAGGTTGTGGCTTTGTCTTCTGTGAGAGCTTAACCCTCCTGCACACACCACACACACACACACACACACACACACAATCACACACACACACACACACACACAATCACACACACATGCGTACCACCTCGGCCGAGATGACAGGCTCGGCACAATGCGTCACAAGAGCGCAGAAGATGTGGGCTTTCCCAGCGTGTCGACAGTTAACTAACACAGAGAAAGGAAGAGGAAGAGAGAGGTCAAAGGTAGAGAAAATGAAATTTTCTCTGAGTAAATAATGCTTTTTAATTAAGACAGAGAGCGTTGGGCGGTTTAGTTGCCACAGTGACGACGACCTCTAGGTCCCACGGGGGTCAAAGGTGAAGAATGTTCCAGTCAGGAGATCTAAGCAGGAGGTGATTTATAGAAGTGAGGAGGGGGAAATTTCCCTCTCATTAACAGAAATCACGACAGATTAAACTTGTAACAGCTGTTATTTGCAGGGAGATTTTTTTCTATAAGATCAAACAATTGTAGTATTTAGAACAACTTGGCCCCAGGGTCGTCTCACAACACAGGAACAATTAAATTAGACAGAAAAACAGAATAAATCGGATACTTCCATCATCCCATATACACAATGATTAACTGAGCAGCGGTATTTATAGTGTTTTTTTTTTACAGTTTTTTACATTTTATTGTATACCATAATTTAGTGGCACATTTTGGGAAAAGACCTCCTTTTAAGTACTATCAAGTATGGTGTCACTGACATCCATTCAAAAGAGAATGCAACCCTGTCTTCTGGGATTTCATGTACTAATTTGTTTTGCCAATTATGTTTTCAGATAAACATAATTTGCTGCTGTTCAGTGGCAACGTTTGGTTGGTTAAGGTTTGCAAAAAATCCTTTATGAGAAGAATAGGCTAAATGTTGAATGACATAAATCAAGTATACTTCAAACAACTGTTGACTTTTATAATCTGTCATTGATCCATGAGCGAGTATTGTAAGGAAAATAAATAAAATATGATGTCAGGGAACATTTTGGCAGATACATTGATTAAAAACGTTTACTCCTTAAGTTAATAAAAACAGAAATAGGGTTGACTGATGTGGTATTACACTTAACTAAACCTAACCTAGACCATGAGTGACTTTATTTTACTCTAAATGTTCATGTGGTGTTCGATCAGTCAAATTCCTGAACAGCCAACATAATAAAACAAAAATAAAAACCTGCTTCACTGTGTAATTGTCAGATGGTGTTGTCTTTCAGACTTATTTAGATATTCTTAAAGTGTTGCATAACGAACCTTATGAAGGCCACAAGCAAAAATATGTCAGTCATAAAGTTGGTCTCCATACAACTACTAATACTAAGTCTTGCTGGAATTTTGATCTTCTACATCTGCTTACTGTCTCCATGCACCTTGCAAATAGAAACTAAACTCCTGCTTCTGGTCATTCCAGCATATTGAAGAGGATCATTTGGGTTTGGGATGCTGCCTT